GCCGGCATCGCGGACAGCCAATGAGCGCCGCCGCGGATGGCGCCACTCATTGGCTGGGCAGCCTGTCACTCTCTTCGGCCGCGGCTATAAATGGCGCTGTCTCGCAAAGCCTCCCTCAGCGCCTGCAGCGGGAGCCGGCAGCGGGGGTGGTGTGTTGTGATGTCTTTGGGTGTTTTGGAGTGCTGCTTTTCGGCAGAGTGTTCCCTTTTTTCTAGAGCCGCTCTTAGGGGTTTGTGGCTTGGGGAGAGCCCCAGGTTGTGCCAGCGCTTGGGTGCTCGTTGCCCCACGTTGAGGTGCGCTCTGAGTTCGGGTTAGGGCTGAGCCCCTGGCTTGCAACGTGGGTGTTTCTCCATCTGCGTGTAGCTGCCAAACAAACTACGTGTGTAGGTGCCCCGTGTGACCTGCTAGCTCACCACTTACAAGAAGTCACAGTCACGAATTTTACCGTTGAGTTCAAACCCTGCTAATAAACACCTCCCGGAGCTTGGATTGAGAGCTGTTGAAACTACAGAGCAGCTTGTTGCTTCACACCAGTAAAAGGAACCCTCTGTGCTTTGTGCCGCTCTGGGCAGGGTGTTCTTGTGCAGTGGCGTGTGGGCCGCCCACGAGGTGGTTACACAGGTACAGCCGTGTGGGTGTGAAAATGAACTCGGTTTCCTTCAGAGGTTCCTGCACCGTGCCATTGCTGAGAGCAAGTCAGTGACAGCTTTACTCTATGGGTTCACTATTTAGGGTCATGATGCTGCTGCTCTGTAAGTAATCCCCTATCTTCAGTGGTTTGTTTCATGTGTTCCAGGAATTCCATGCCTCTTTTAGGGTCTGAAAACTTCCATTCAAATCAGACGGCATGCCTAGCTTAGGGTAGGATCCTATCTACTTCACAAGAGTTCTGCCCTTGACATGTAGTGCTAACTGGTTGGCAATGTTCAATCCTTTTCATGGACTTGATTTGCTCCTCTTCTGTGCTTACATTATACCTACTTCAAAGTCCATAGTAGACATTTTCAAAATCCACAGAACTGTAGAATCGCAGAATGGATTGTATTGGGAGGGACCCTGAAGATAATCTAGGCCCAAGGCCCTTGCGGTGGGCAGGGATACCTTTCACTAGACCAAGTTGTTCAGGAGTACCATTCAGCCTGGCTTTGAGCACTGCCAGGATTGGGCCATCAATAACTCCTTTGGGAAACCTGTGGAGTTTTACTCTCCATTAAGGCTCTTATGCTGGATGTAGTGGGATAGTTCTCCACCAGAACTTTAGAAACTGTGGAAAAATCTTGCAAGTTATTCTGTCTGAAGAGTGACATTTAACAAGTTTCCATATGCTTTCATGTTTTCTTACCAGCGCTTCAACACATTACAGTATTTTTACACATTTGGGTACCTGCACAGTAGCCCTCAGTGAATTTTCTGTCTTTTTCAAAGATTTCAAAGAGGGTCTGGTGGCAATTCAGGCAGATCGAAATAAAGAAGCTCAGGAGAAGTTTGCAAGGTCTTGACACCCAGGCTGTTCTGTGATTTTACTCATTGAGTGGTGAGAATTTATTATGTAAATGTGTGCTTCAATCCTCCATTTTACAAAGTGGAATGAAGTGGATTTTTTATTGAAAAACAAATTCAGCACAATAACTTTCAAACAAAAATTAGAGCATGCATATCCTCATGCACACAGACACATCTATGGCAGAATTTCCTGTAGAGATCCCAACAAGCTAGAAACATTAAAGGCACCATTGTTTGCATCTAATAGATTAGTGCTGCTTAGGGATATGAATTTTTGCATTTCTGTGCTGGAAAAAAAAACTGGCAGAGACATTTTCACATAAAAGTTCTTTTATCAGGAGAGCTTAGTCTGCTGAAGAAAAGACTCTGTTACAAGATGAGTATAATGACAGTTATTTCACAAGGACTGTCTGAGCCTTCCCACTTTTTGTCCTTTCACTGATTAAATGTTTGCATTATGAAAGTTTACTGACTGGAGCTTGACAGTATCCAATTAACTATTAACTTCCCCAAACAATAGAGTGCAATGTAGTTGTTCCTTTGACAACCTTTGTCTTGAGTTAGTTATGCTTCTTTCCTGAGAAAGAAGGCAAAGTTCAAAACAGGGGGAAAAAATCCACATTACCCTCATCTGACCTACTACACCAATAATCGAATGCCTCTTGGCATACTCCACTGCTTGATGCATGACAAAGTGCATAGTGAAGGAAATGCTGGAGCTGCCAGCGGAAAGGAGTTGGGACAGGCACACTGAAACATCCCTTACTTATGGCGAGGATAGCAGCCCTCTTTTAGGCCTGACCAATATTTAATGCCAGCAAATTTCTAATTCATTCTTCCTGCTGAGTTACTCTTTCATCCTGCAGCCACTGCTGTTCAACTGGAGTATCAGTCTGAAATGGGGGATGATTAAGCAATCTGAAACTCCCAAAATTGTATTTAAATGCAAGTGTAAGGTACATACACTGTAACAGCCTTAACAGGGGAGACCTGAGGGGAGAAAATAGAATTTTAAAAATACAGGAAGTTTAATTCCCTAGTATTCCAGCTTTGGTTGCTGGGAAAAAAATAATTACCAAGGAGCTTGCTATTCTATACCAGCAGGAAATAAAACAACACAAGAGAGAAATGAATAATCATATTTCAACAGAGGGAAGATTTCATGCTGAGAGATTTTTGTTAAGGTATTACCTAACAGAGTAAAGACAAATTGGTAGAAGATGCTCCAGGCCTGCCATAATTTCATATATGCTACAGTGTTTGCACAGCTGGGCAGCCAACTTCTATAAAGCTGTGGTTCTTGCTATTCATCAGATCTGGAGCTTGTTTTATCCAAACATTTTCCTGACTTCTTCAGAAGCAGAACACTCTTGTTGTTCTTGCATTTCACTGTGATCATGTTCTGGCTTTCTCAGGCACTGGGAAAGATGCAAAAAAGGTAGAGATGCTTGGCAGTAGGAGCAAAAATCTGAATGGTCATTTGGCTGAAAAATGGCCATGAGAAAATTGTCTGCATCTCCCAACCAAAAATTGAGTCCTGTCTTAGAGACAGGATTTATTCCCAGCCTGCCACTTAGCCCTGTTTTTTAACAGAGCAAATTCCTCTCAGTGCTTCTAGCTCCATTTCACCTCAGTTTTTCTTTTTTCAGCTGTAAAACTTTCATGACCAAATATTTTTTGCTTTATGTTAGTGGAGCACCTTGCTCAGAGAAACTCTATTTTTGCTGGGCCTTTTCTATACTCCCATACCAACAATGAAGAATGAGGGGCACAAGTACACCAAGTGATAATCACAGAAGGACTGGCCATAGTTGCCCGCTGCCCCTGCAATTGTTCTGTGCCCCAGGCTGGCTCCTGCTTAGGGCCACATGCCATCCCTACAGTGCATGGATAG